TTCAGAGCGAGTGGTAGCAGTAGCGGCAACGGTGGCGGTGCGCGCATCACTCGATGCTGCTCGTTTTGCTGCGGGAAGACGCGACTCTGCTGCTTGCGCCGCTGTTGAAGAAGCAGCAGCTGTGCACGTGACATCCGATGCCGTTCGCTTGGATGTTGAGGGAGCAGGGCTGGTAGCGACGCCGTTGCCATCGTCGTCATAATCGTCAGACCCAGAGATACAAGTAGTTTTAGCAGCCAGCGGCACTCGCTTACGCCGCAGTGTACCCGAGGCTGAGCTTGCAGCCGATCGCGCCGGAGACGAGGTTGAACCCGAGGCCGATGGTACTGGCACGCAAATGATCGAGGCCGACGGGGTTGGCGCGTGTTTCGTGGGGGTTGGCTGTGCTGCTGACTGCATGACTGGCTGTGGCGTGCTCTCGTGCTCTGCCAACGTGGTTTGCGCCGGGCCACGCGCGTCTTGCTGTAAAGGCGCCTCGCCATCAGCATCAGAGACCATGGGTGAAGCTGACACCGACATGGATGCTGTATCTGCCTCATCAATCCAAGCAGCACTCGTCTGTATCCGTGGCACAGCAGCATCCGTCATTGGCCCTCCATTTGTCGCCACCACAGCCGTGTCCTGGGCACGTGGAGTGCTTCTGCTCGACTGCGCCGCAACGGCACCTGGTCCTGCTGATGCTGCCGTGTCAACGTTCGATGCTGAAGTTACATCCAAAGTGGACCCTGGCCCGATCGATTCTTCTTCCTCGAGCCGTGCTGCAGGTGGCTCAGACAACACATCTTCCTCCTCCGCCATCGCCTCGGCCTCTGCTTCCACATGCGCCACACTCAACGCTTGGGCAGCGCGCTGCTGGCGTGCAGCTCTTGCTGGCTCCAGGCGCTGTGCTGTTCCTGCGCACACGTCACAAAGCGGCTGGCCGGCAGCAAAGCATGTCGCAGCGCGGGGATATAGCAACTTGCCGAGCGCCCAGCTGCGGCACGCATTGCCCTCGACAAACTTTTCCATGCCTGGTGCTGGCCCACGTCTCACTGGTAGCCACAGCTCGGCAGTTCCACCCTGTTTATCGCGACCAGCCCGACCAAATGCCTAGCCCAAGCACATGTACACCATCAGCAAAACCAACAATTGATTTTTTTTTATTTTATTTTTTTGTTTTCAACTCCATAAAGTCACACGACTGTTTGAGCAACAACGTACCTGGGCCAGCGTATAGACGTTGTAGCCATTGCCATACCACAGCACGTGGCGAATGGTGAGCAGATCCACACCCGTGCTGAGGCAGCTGGTGGCCACAATGACGTCGCATTCACCCCGTTGCCACTGTGCCACATGGTCCTTTTGCGCCTTCTCCTCCAGGTCGGTGTAGAAGGGCAAGGCCACGTAGCCGCGTGCGTGCAGCTGGTCACACAGCAGCTTCACCTCGTTCACGGTGTCACAAAAGACCATCATGTGCACACGCTCCCCATTCGCCTGACGCATCACCCGCTGCGTGTCCACAATGGCTTGCACATGCGACAAAAAGTTTAGCTGGTTTCCGTGAAGCACACGCAGCTGCAGATCGCGACGCATCGTCTCCAGACGGTACACCTTGCCCCCGACTTGCTGACCCAGCTTTCGAAACAGATGCTCCTGGTTCCCGATGCAAAGTGTGCCCGTCAACGCCACGCGTTTGATGTTGGTCCATCCGCCAGAGCCCACACTGGCTGCGACTTCGTCCATCACATCTCGGTAGCTGGCATCCGAGATGAGCGTGTGCGCCTCGTCCATCACCACGGTGCGGATGCGCTGAAAGCAGACCTTTCCGTGTAGTGATTCAGATCCCACGCGGACAAACATGTCGGTCGTAACGATGAGCACGTCCAGGCCATCTGCCACCTGTGTAGAGGGACCAAGCCATCGCTGGGCACTGTGACCTGCGCCTTGAAATCGCCGCAATAAATCGTTGGCCACGGCCACAAACGGCACAATCCACAGCACCGTACCGGCATGCGGGCGACAGCCCAGCTTGGGCAGGGTACAAAATGTTTTACCCATGCCTGTCGGTGCAACAACAATCAGCCATCCATCTTCCGGCCGGTGCTGGTCAATGGCCGCAGCCAGGTCCAACTGTTCTTGGCTATTGAAACTGTGGCCCCAGGAGATGGTCGCCTGCTTGGCCAGCTGGGTCATGTAGGGTACGTCATGTTCGGCCCTCGTGTTCATGATGATACGCCCGTTTGCCTCGGGCGAGAGGTCAGTCACCGGGTTCCAGCTGATGGGATACCGAGCTTCCAATGCTTCTTGGTTAGCGGTCAACTCGGCTATGCTGCGCTTGCGATCTAGTCCAAACAAAGCATGCCACTTTTGCGAGGCCACTTGATGCATCAGTCGCGACGACATTTTGGTTTGCACATGGTCACTGGCTGTGCGCGCATAGGCCCGCTGGGCCGTGTCCCCAGAGTGTTGAGCTTGAGTGTGGATCAGGCTGCCCAGGGCGCCGGTCGTCTCGGCCGACAGTCGATTAATGACAAACGTCGTCATCCAGAAGGTTGCGGCGTGTCGCCACGTGGCCACCCCCAGCTTTGGCCGATGCAGGTACGTGGTCATTTGTCGACGAAATGCCGCATATATGGTGGCTGGGCTGACCATCGTCTGCAGGGGCGCAATGTTGAAGAGCAGGTGGCTGTTGTTGTAGTGGTTTCGAGCGTCCCGGACCTCGCGTCGCAAAGTCATCGTCTCGTCGTGGCTCATGTGGTCTTCATCCAGCTCGTCGTCGAGGAAATCTTCGTCGTCCTGCTCGGCATTGTGAATTCCATTCTCGTCGTCGGGGGTGCCTAGCCTGCCCCGCTTTTGCAGCCAGCTGCTCAGCATGTGCTCCAGGGGCTTGCACAGCAGCAAATACATGAATATCAGCGTGCTGAGTTCCTGTTAGCGTCAAATCCGTGCTTCCACGCATTTGAACACTCCCACTGCTTTCGCACACACTCAGCATCGGTCGCTATGGGTCTTCCTATTGGTATTCCATAGCTACGACGACCTCACACATTGACACCTACTTTTGGACCCCCTGGGCTTGATCCTCCTCGTGGCAGTCACATGAGTAAACACCGCGTGTGACGCGGTCCCCACGATGCCTGGGCAGCTGCC